ATAGGAAGCAGTAGTTAAAAAGTTACGACCTAAAACTTAGTAATGCCAATTTACAATTAAAAGAAAAATACAACCCTGTAATAATGTTTCATAAAAATTCTTGAGTATTGGGTTTATAAAGTAAAATATTTGTATAGAAAATCCATTACCAGAATGGGCATACCTCCTTAAATTCTAGGATCCAGCCACTTACTTTATGAATAGTATGTAAAATTTCCCGATAAAAAACGGGTCTGTACACAGATCAAAACTCGGGTATACTGACAATTTGTCTAGTTCTGATACACCTAATCTGTTGAAGAAACAAAATACAATTTTTTTTTTAAAGTTAATTTTTCTTTCATCAAGCAATTCCCGGAGACTTCAGTCTCTGTGGACTCAGCAATTTACAATAATTTCTTTAAAAAATTCTCTTCCTAAACTTAACAACTCCAGGAGGCTTTGTGTAAGCCTTAATGTTTTTTTTTCAGTAGAACATTGATAACAATATTTCTGCTAACAAACAACTGCTCCCAACAGGGTATCAGCCGATGATATAAAAATCAACTAAACTCATAAGTCTGATATATTGATTCCATAACAAAATGGACAGCAAAAACAACAAATTCTGTATATACACAAGTTTTTTACACATTCCCTGAGATTAACTTGTAAAGGCTGTGAACTGCTACCTTCAGCAAACTTGACATGTGTCCTGTAGATCACATCTCCTCTTCATAGTCTGTATATCTCCCCGATTTGAAAGAAATTCCAGGAACCTTAATAAAAAGCTTTTACTTCAGAAATATATCTCTTTAAAAAACAATAGAAATATGTATAAAAGATTCTTTTTCCAAAAACAATAATATTTTTTTTATCTATATCCATGTATCCACTTTTTTTGGTCTTTCATCTAAAAGGACAATAGGAAAATGTCTACAGGACTGAAACATGATCAGAGTGTATCAGGTTCAGAGCACACACACACACATACACACGTACACACAAATCTCAACACACTAACACATATCCCCAGTATACATATTTATACATCGATTTTATAAAAAATAATACTTCCTGAGATAAAATGACCAATATAATGTGTTACTTCAAAATGTTATCAGACACCATGCTTGTATGAATCTGAATCAAAATACTTGATGAATAATATCTGTTGTATACTTTTCTCGTGTGATAATGAAGAAAACAACAACAATTATCTAAATCAGAATCAGTTTCAAATTCTCTTAGAAATGTTGTCAAAAATATTTACACTGACATAAATTTAAAACATACCACTGAATTAAAATACGAGATGTTCTTTTCATTCTTGTTAATGGCAATAGAAGTATCAAAAATGAATTAATGTGAGAGATTGAGATACTGAAACAATCATTTCTAGATCAAAACTCTTAAAATCTCAAGAAAAACAAGAAAATTTTGAAAAATGACAAAGATGACCAAAGTGTATCAAAAAGTTTGTTTTTGTTTTCCATTTTTTTTCTTGAAGTCGAGCTCACTAGTATGTTAACCTTGATAAAATAATACTGTGACCTTGTATCACCGGATTACATTATATTACTGGGATACCTGCTGAAGAACAAGGCAACCATTGCACTATCTAAAGAAATCTGAGGAATATTTACAAATAAGATATATAACATATAAATATATACATTGTACCTATGTTAAACAACTAATGGCTAATATCAACAACTCACTGGTATAATATATACAATGTACCTATGTTAAACAACTAATGGCTAATATCAACAACTCACTGGTATAATATATACATGAGGTAGTCAATAAGAACAAAACAGCATTTACACAAAAAATAATATCGGAATAAAAACAGGAAGTCAAACACAAACCCGTATATGGTATAAGTAGTTAGTTATTCGTATATATTTCTCGTATATATAAAGAGTTAATGTTTAACAAGGTCACTGACTCGGGATTATATATATACATAGTACTGTATAGTGCTTTCATTTTAATGGCTTTGATTTCATCGAAAATTCTCCAGCAAATTATTGCCAGTGGATGCATTTTACAAGTACCTAATTGCTTGTCTAATATTTAAAGGACTTTTCAGTACTTAACTTTTATTTTTTTACACATAAGTGAAAGTCAAACTAAAAATGCGGGTGATACTTAAACTGTAGATATATCATATTTCAACAGGAACGAATCCATGCCTGTTGATAAGTGTTATTTAGTGTAGTCCTTTAGCTCTGTAATAATTTAATTCCTCTCTATATTTTCGTTCAAACACCAGATATCCAATGTTGAGTTGTCTGGATTATTGCAGGAGATGTACATTTTAAATCTAATGAGCCCTGATAAAATAACTTCAAACAAGATAAATTTTGAGTGACAATGAAACTATTGGTACTTGATATATAGACTGGGTATACTTCATCTGTGCCGCCTGTCCGCGATACCTCAAGATTATACACAGCACAGTGGGTAAAGGGAACTAACTCACACAATCTCTATAGTCCTTTCAATACACAAACATTGCTATAATAATTGTCTTCTATCAAGAAGTAACAGCACTGCATCAAACTCGGATTCTGAGCATGGACTTCAGGTATATTAGGCACTGAGTATTCTATTGAGTAGAATAAAGAAAACTATATCTGACAGACCTAATTCCTCTATCCTAGCTCTTATAAAAATTCCTCTATCCTAGCTCTTATAAATTAGGTCTTATCTAGTTTAAATGACTCAACTTTAGTGACAGTGGTAACTTTTCTTTAAAGCCGTATATGTGAATGCAAAAGGTATTCTAACACAACTAAAACTGTGGAGAGAAAAGTGTATATAATATTACAGTTTTTTTTGCCCAATCTTATTAAACGTCAAGTCGAAAGAACATAAATAATATTCATACCAATCAGGAAATAAATTTGACAATAAATGATTGTGATAATAAAGTGTACAAATCTAACAAAAAAAATGTCATTCTTCTACAAAAGTGCATTCAATACATCACAAGTCCTTGACTTAACTCTCCTAGGCACAAATATACTACTGTATACACACAAAACAATCTGGTACGTTGATTGATATTCCAATCAAGTCTGTTTATGCATACATCAATCAGTTATTAGCAATTAAAATAAATTTTAAAGTTTGAGAAACGTTTTATCCATCACTTTCTCCACAACCAAGTGTTCAACTTAATGATTATAACATAAATGATGCCGCAAAAATTTCTACATTCCATAACACAATGACAACAGAGTTGTCTCCCTTTCATTAACAGACGCATTCAGGTGAGGTTAACTTGTAACTGCAAAGATACGTTTACTTGTCAAAAATTTATCAGCCGATTGCAATTAAAACAAATATGAGCAAGAACAAAATCAGGAGAAATGGTTCAATTTTACCGGGTATATTCATAAATGACACAGACATGTATTTAGTGAGAACAAAATGAAGATGTTGTAGCTACCAGAGTTGTGAGCACCTGTAATTTATATCATCTGTATATATCATGTTTTTCATAAGGTTATGTTAGAAATAAGGTAAACAGTTCAGAAAAAACAAAATATACAAGTAAATATAATGGCCTTATTTAGCATGTGGTAGTGATGTCACCACAGGATTCATTTTAGACATGTAACATTGTACAGGTGATACATTTTGGGTATGATATTGTGTGTAAAATGATCCATTGTACGACCTGGAATTATTCTGAAATGTTGTCAAGCAAACAAAGACCACAGTCAAGATGACTGGAATTTAGAATTCAAAAACATTACAAGGAATATTGTATCCCTTTAGTTATCAAAAGCAAGCTGGAACTGTCATCCCTAGGCTAACTCATACCCCCAAATATCAGAGTTATTCTTACTATAATAAAACGGTATTCAATTTTAGTGACATGGGATAGACAAACCTCTCAAAAAGAACCTTGATACCAAATCTGACTGTTCGTACAAATATTCAGTAATGGACATGCCCATGAAAACTTTTAATGTAGGATATAAAAACAAATCACGCAGGTATGGAGGAATTTTGTGCTCAATAATTCCTAGAACATTTTCATAGGTCAATTTTTTTGTCATCACCACATGATGTCATTTTGCAATAAAAAAATATGTCTGGACAGTGCAGCAGTGTAAGAAATTGTCAAAAATTTTGCAAAGTGGCATAACTTTGTAACTAAACCCAATCCAGATTACGCACATTTACAATGTATAAGGATTATTGCCACTATTTCGTTAAACATTATTGTCTTTCCAAAAAGGGGAAGTAACTGAACCTGATAGGATTTATAGCCAGCAAGTATCATTAAAATAAATTCAATTAGTTTAGGAGTAGCTTTCATAGATTTCAATCTTTGAGTAATAAACACGAATAAAACATGCTCTATATGATTCTACAGATATATCTTCTAACGATGTCATGATGAGAAAACTAACAATTAATTTCTGACACAACACATGATGTCCTTGGTCCAGACCAGAAAAAAATTCATATCACACTTTCATGCAGGTTTTCTCGTATACTCTCCGAGTCGATTAAAAGAAGGTTTGGGCTGGACAAGAGAATGTATACAGCGTGGAATACCAAGATCAATGTACATGGTATCAATATCTATATCACAGAAATCTGTATCAATTTTCTTATACCGTTAATAAAACCAATCAAAATATTAATGAAATTCAATGAAACCTCATTAATCTTGGTAAACACTGTCTAAACTAAGATTATTAATCATATCCTTTAAACTATATCAATTTTATTTTGCATTTAATTTTTTTAAACCACCACTAAAGCATCAGCGGTCAATTCTATTTCAACTGATTCAGCTATCAAATTCAAGCTTCCAAATTCATTCTTATTTTCTAGGAAATGGTAAAAAAAAAACTAACGAATCATTTGTGAGAAAATAGCAAGGTAAGTGTTAAAACACGTAAACTGTAACAAAAACACCGGTTTTCTTAACAATGTGATGACTTATGACAGTCTCCATTATCTGTCTGTTATTTCCTGAACAAATCACATTAATGTTTTGAACGTTTTTGTAGAAGTAATTGTTTGAGTGAATTCGCTTCTTCACGTAAAGTTGCAACTTGAGCTCGAAGAATGGCATTTTCTTTTTCTAAGAAACTAGCACGAATTGATATTTCATCTTCACGAGACTTTCTAGCATCTCTTGATTTTTTAGCTGCAAGGTTGTTTCGTTTTCGTCGTTCAAAATATTTGCTGTCTTTCTGTTCTGAAGGAAATGCCTTCTTTTCACTTCTGGGTCTTTTCTGTGTTTGCTGTACAGCTGCTAAGGCCCTGGCTAGAGTCGGGGAGCTACCGGCTGCTGCTACTGCCGCTGAAACATTTAACATACAATATCAGTCAGTAAAACCTAGATAAGGAATGGATTATAATACATAACCTAAAATGTATAACATATATGATAAACTTTATAATAGTAAACAAACCAATGGAAATAAAAAGCTTGTCTATAAATCCACACTTCAGTAATTAGTACTTTAAGCTACAACCTTTATAGTCCATCTTGATAATTGTTATCACACCTATTTCCAGTATCAACAATACTAAAATGATAAACATTTTGTGTACTTACAGGATACAATATGTACCAGTTTTAGTGTAGTGATAATCCTTACAGTTTGAATGTCACCACATCTATTTTCAATATCAACAATACTAAAATAATTTATCATATCTATTTCCAGTATCAACAATACTAAAATGATAAATATTTTGTGTACTTACAGGATACAAAATGTACCAGTTTTAGTATAGTGATAACCCTTACAGTTTTAATGTTATCACATCTATTTCCAGTATCAATTAAAATGATAAATGTTTTGTGTACTTAAATAATAGAGAATGTACCAGTTTTTATGTAGATTGAAGAATTTTTGTTTGGTGTTGTAACAATACCTGATTAGCGAAGCCTTTACCATTGCCTAATGCTTCCTTGATTTTACAGCTACAGGAAATCTCATAAATTAGGAAAGTCAGATGCCACAAAGAAAAAAAATGATTACAATAATGTATATAGCTTTTTTATGCAAAAAACCTAATTGTCAATTATGTGATTTGTTTTGTACAAGCTATTGTAGCCCAGCTCCATGGTAACGGTACACATCTGTAGGTGTATGCACGTAACACTGTACATAAGTGATGCTAAGGTGTGGAAGTTTATTAGAAACAGATGGTGTGCACTCCACTGTAAGGTGCTGTCTATAACCTTTTTAACAGAACAAATCTGTTCTAATGCACAATTTACTCTCACTAGAAATATACACATCAATACATATGTTTGATGTAACTTTTAACCAAGATTTCTGTGTTTTTGATAATACTCCACGACAACCTGTCAAATGTCATCTCATTTCATAGTTGTTACATTTCACATGTAAATTCATACACCAACTTTTAGACCCTAGTTTCATATAAGGCCCTAGTTTCCTATAAACCTTTAGACCCTAGTTTCCTATAAGGTCCTAGTTTCCTATAAACCTTTAGACCCTAGTTTCCTATAAGGCCCTAGTTTCCTATAAACCTTTAGACCCTAGTTTCCTATAAGGCCCTAGTTTCCTATAAACCTTTAGGCCCTAAGTTTCCTATAAACCTTTAGACCCTAGTTTCCTATAAGGCCCTTGTTTCCTATAAGGTCCTAGTTTCCTGGCCCTTTAGGCCCTAGTTTCCTATAAACCTTCAGGCCCTAGCTTCCTATAAACCTTTAGGCCCTAGTTTCCTATAAAGCTTTTGGCCCTCGCTACCTATAAAGCTTTTGGCCCTAGCTTCCTATAAAGCTTTTCGCCCTAGCTTCCTATAAACTTTTAGGCCCTAGTTTCCTATAAGGCCCTAGTTTCCTATAAACCTGTTGGTCCTAGCTACCTATAAACCTTTAGGCCCTAGTTTCCTAAAACCCTTTTGGCCCTAGTTTCCTATAAACTTTTAGACCCTAGTTTCCTATAAGGCCCTAGTTTCCTTTAAACCTTTAGACCCTAGTTTCCTATAAGCCCCTAGTTTCCTATAAACCTTTAGACCCTAGTTTCCTACAAGGCCCTAGTTTCCTGGCCCTAGTTTCCTATAAGGCCCTAGTTTCCTATAAACCTTTAGGCCCTAGTTTCCTATAAACCTTTAGACCCTAGTTTCCAATAAGCCCCTAGTTTCCTATAAACCTTTAGACCCTAGTTTCCTACAAGGCCCTAGTTTCCTATAAGGCCCTAGTTTCCTATAAACCTTTTGGCCCTAGCTTCCTATAAAGCTATCACTAGACCAGAAGGACTCAGATTTTGTGTTAGGAGTGAAATTTGAAACGTTTAAATTGTGTTTACGGAATATGTGATATCATTTGTCAGAAAAAACTGTAGCTACATGAGCAAGCAGCTGCTGCAACATCAGTGTATTTTCAAATAACTTTCTCCAACCTTATCACTGCCATCTCAATCTTAAAAACTGGTCCACACTTCAATGCTGTACTTGGCAAACTTATACCAGTAGATTCCCAAGTTTTCTATCGGTTTTGATATTTTACTGTACACATAAGACTTCTCCTAACTTCCAGGAGTGGCATTCAGTCTTTACATACTCATGTAGGATTCCTATCAACATAAGTGTATCTTTCTCATTTCCTTCATCCAAATATTCTCTTGAAGGTGAAATCTATATAGTATAATGTTGAAAGGTAACGAAAATCTTCTGTTAATGTTCTCTAATTCTTAATCACACAAAATTTTCTGATATCTTTTTTTTTCTTTAAACATTTTACACACATAGAAGACATATTTTTTTTAGCAAACTTCAAGTATGTATTCCTATCATACCAATCCTTAAGTGTTGGCATGACAACAATGTCTGGTTTTAACAGGTCCTATAGTACACTGCTACATCTACACTAGCTGTAATTTGTAGCAGGAATATTTCACCAAAAATAACTCCTGGTGAGTTCTACCAGACCTGTAACTCCACTGAATTCTGATGTAATCATTCTATTGATAGAAACAGCTTTCCATTTATACCTAGACTCACATCAAAATGCCAAAAAAAAGGGTATTTCTGAGCTTTCTGTATGTATTCTCAGATCTTTGTGTGTTGATAAAACAGGTAGCTAGCTATCTCTCTAAAATTTATAATATAATGTAATTTAGACCTAGCTGAGCATTAACATCCTTTATCAACATATCAGAATAATTTCCTCTTGAATTTCCTCTTGGCAATATTAACTGTGGATTTTTTTAATGGGTTTTTTTAACCCATTGATCAATGTTTCATCCTTAACTAATTCAGGATTGAGCACAATAATCAATAGGTCTCTTGTAGACAAGGTATTCAGATTTCAACATGAAATAGGTCTCTTGTAGACAAGGTATTCAGATTTCAACATGAAATAGGTCTCTTGTAGACAAGGTATTCAGATTTCAACATGAAATAGGTCTCTTGTAGACGAAGTATTCAGATTTCAACATGAAATGGGTCTCTTGTAGACGAAGTATTCAGATTTCAACATGAAATGGGTCTCTTGTAGACAAGGTATTCAGATTTCAACATGAAATAGGTCTCTTGTAGACAAGGTATTCAGATTTCAACATGAAATAGGTCTCTTGTAGACAAGGTATTCAGATTTCAACATGAAATAGGTCTCGTGTAGACAAGGTATTCAGATTTCAACATGAAATAGGTCTCTTGTAGACAAGGTATTCAGATTTCAACATGAAATAGGTCTCTTGTAGACAAGGTATTCAGATTTCAACATGAAATAGGTCTCATGTAGACGAAGTATTCAGATTTCAACATGAAATAGGTCTCTTGTAGACAAGGTATTCAGATTTCAACATGAAATAGGTCTCTTGTAGATGAAGAATTCAGATTTCAACATGAAAGATATCCCTGCAACATCATTCACAACTTTGTTTCACTCGAAAATATTAACACTGTCAACTGTTAACAGCTGTGACTTTGATGACACAGTACACTAACTTCAGTTCCAACAATATTATCTTTCCTGGGTTGCTTTTCATCATAAGGTACACAATAATGCTTTTGACCTTGTGTCTATCACCAGAGCATTGACCTTACAAAAGCATGCATAAATATATGTTTACAAACTTAAAGGTCAAAGGTCAAGGTAACTAATATCAATATCCAGGAAGGAGTTCTTAAAAGCCCAAACAAGTTATATATTTACTGGTCATGTTGTTTGATTTGTGATCCGATTGCCTGTAGAAAATAAAGTACAAAGTTAATTTCCAGTACCACACTGTGTGTAAGTTTGTGAACAGCCAGGGTCAATTTGGAAGCCAGACCTTCTTGCAGTAGTTCACCTGAAGGAGGCTACCTCATTGAACAACATTTGGGAGGTCAGTTACTTACAATCCACTGCCAAATACAGTCAACTGCCCAATAGACACAACCATGACCACAAAGGACAGCTTTCTGAAAGCACAGTGTCCTTGATGAATTGGAACTACACAACCCTCATCTTCACTGACCAAATTTGATCACAACCCTCCAACACCAGACCAGAATGGCCTTCACTCACTGAACACTGTCAAGTCAGACAAAAGTGGCCTTCACTCACTGAACACTGTCAAGTCGGACAAGAGTGGCCTCTACTGACTGAACACTGTCAAGTCAGACAAGAGTGGCCTCTACTGACTGAACACTGTCAAGTCGGACAAGAGTGGCCTCTACTGACTGAACACTGTCAAGTCAGACAAGAGTGGCCTCTACTGACTGAACACTGTCAAGTCAGACCAGAATGGCCTTTACTGACTAAACACTGTCAAGTCAGACAACAATGGCCTTTACTGACTGAACACTGTCAAGTCAGACAAGAGTGGCCTCTACTGACTGAACACTGTCAAGTCAGACCAGAATGGCCTTTACTGACTAAACACTGTCAAGTCAGACAACAATGGCCTTTACTGACTGAACACTGTCAAGTCAGACAAGAGTGGCCTTTACTGACTGAACACTGTCAAGTCAGACAAGAGTGGCCTTTACTGACTGAACACTATCAAGTCAGACAAGAGTGGCCTTTACTGACTGAACACTGTCAAGTCAGACAAGAGTGGCCTTTACTGACTGAACACTGTCAAGTCAGACAAGAGTGGCCTTTACTGACTGAACACTGTCAAGTCAGACAAGAGTGGCCTTTACTGACTGAACACTATCAAGTCAGACCAGAGTGGCCTTTACTGACTGAACACTGTCAAGTCAGACAAGAGTGGCCTTTACTGACTGAACACTGTCAAGTCAGACAAGAGTGGCCTTTACTGACTGAACACTGTCAAGTCAGACAAGAGTGGCCTTTACTGACTGAACACTATCAAGTCAGACCAGAGTGGC